GGGATTGCAGATGTATGCTGCCAAGCTTGGCTTTTATGTGTGCTGTGTGCTAGGGATTGAACCCCATGAGGACCCCATGCAGGTCCTCATGATTGTTCAGCAGGCCCTTTACCAACTGAGCTTTCTCCACAGCCTAGATTTAACTTTTTCCAAGTTAGTTTAATTATAAATAGCCCTATGTGGCTAGTAGTCGTGGTCTTGAACAATGTACACCTAGTTCTCCCATTTGGATGGATGTGATAGGAGTTTGACTCTCTGATTGTGTTTCTATTGACTTAATTTTGTAGGTTAAGACATTAATGCAAATGACTCTGGCCTTTAACAAAGCGGCTAAATTTTGCCCAGTAGAAACATAACTGATTTCTACAGTAAAGATAAGGTGACTTCATATATCACGTTTTATTTATTTATTGGATATGAATTGATTTCTATTTGTAAATGATTTCAGCCTCACTGACTTTTTATGAGCACATCTACTCTATCTTTTAACTTATTTTAGTATCTGACTGATTCCATTTTTTATTAATAAGTTAAATAAAACTAATGGCTTGCTTTATGTTCATATGAAAGTGTTGATTTTACCTTATAAAATCGGGTAGACTCATCCTCTAAGCAGTAATACTGTCTGTATTTCACAACAGTCAAGTGGGAGAACAGGAAAGTCTTTCAAGTAGTCTGCATTTGTGTGCATCATTGTTTCTTGTCTCATTTTGAGATGGAGGGATATGAAGTTACAGAATGTGGATACAGCAAAGTTAAATATTAGTACTGGCAAATAAGAATAAAATGTAAGTTCTTGGCTTGATGGAAAAGTTGTCCATGCCCACCCTTGTCTTCTTAGATTAATTATTGCTTGGCTTTGACTACAATGAGTGCTGGGCTTACATTGTATTGCCATAAGAATGGGACAGCTTGTGTCTTGGGTTTGTTGACCATGTTGCCTGAAACTGGAAAGCATTGTTAGATAGTGTGGCAGGGGCCTTGGAGGCACAGGAAATACTGTTGCACGAGGAGAAGATGTAAGTGTTAAGCATGAGGCCTCTGTAGTCTTTGGGCTTCTGTCTCTAGGCAGTCTATTGTAGATTAAACATAAGCACAGTTTCATTTAGCTAAGAAAGTCACTTATGAATTAGAAACAGAAGCATGTCCACAAGTCAAGAAAAAGTAGAGTTGAACTATGTTGTGAGTGTCCCGAAAGCTGGGAGGAAGGTTAAAAAATGGCGAAGGCTTTTAAAAGTACCTTCATAACACATGCAATCCAAGTTTCACATCTCTGACAAGGTATAATGAACCATAACCCTTATCAGGTTCTGTCTGGAATCATTTTGTAGGCAAGAAATTGTAACCATTGGTGGTTCCTGAACAGTGTTTACAGGACAGATGAGAATGTCTTATGTTGATCACATACCACGGTTGTTCTTCAGAATGCCAAAAAAGTCTGTGAATAGAAACAGGGGCAGCTCATTCAGTCAGTAAAAGTCCACTTTAACGCAGAACGACGTAAGTTCCACTGGAATGTCTCATCACATGTTTCCATGGTCACTGTGACACCAGCTGCAGCAGCAAGATTAGTGCAGAGATGTTTGAGCACGCTGAATGGAAAGAAGAACAAAAAGCACCTGATCGAACAATTATATAATAATTATTATGCAATCATTAAAACAGTCGTTTTAACAGCTGGGAGTTAGGAAAGTATTCAGTAAAGAATGTTGAGTGAAAAACTACATCACTAATTTATTGAGATTTTAGAGACACCCAGACAATAAAAGATGTAAAGTGGATAGGCTTTTCTGAGTTGAAAAGCAGAAGGTGAGGTGAAAGTCATTTCTTTTAGTTTCATTCTTTTTCTTCTATTATCCTTTAAACTCATTTTAACAACACATTATTTATGTTTGGAAACAAAGTGGGGAAAAAAGGAAAAAAGAGATGAAAAGAAGACAGCGAGAGAGAGAGAGAGAGAGAGAGAGAGAGAGAGAGAGAGAGAGAGACCGAGACCTTATATTCCCCATGAGAACACTGGCTTTGAAAGAAGGTAGCTTCAAGTAGACACTGTGAAAACAAGAGCCTCCGTCCTCAGGGGCCTTTGAAACAGAAAGCTGCTGGAAGGCGCCTTTGCTGGGAGCAGGTGTCCCATCCCATTTGATTAGCCCTGCTGCAGTTGAAATCCTGCATACCAGGAAATTTATCTGTTTTGTTTTTCCCCCTGTTGGCAGGAGTAACTCTAGATCCTTTCCTTCATGCAGTGAAAAGGAGTTAGCTTTCTTTAGGTAATCTTTGTTTGCGTTGATTGACTCCTCTGAGCAGACAGAGGCAGAAATCAACCCTGCTGACTCCAGTAAACAGCAGAGTCATCAAAAGTGATGGAGAGATAGGGAGGAGCCACAGGGTACAGGGTGAGGGCTGGAGTGCCTTTATATTGAAGAAGTTTCAGAAAAAAAACCAAAAAACGCCCCCCAAAACCTTTATCTGTAGTAGACCAGCAAAGATCTCCCTCATGAAATGTGTAAACACCAACTGAAAGCAATTGCTAGACAGAGTCAAAGTTTCAGGGCACAGCAGTCAGGCAGGAGCACTTTCTGAAGATTTTAGGTCACAACAGAAGGCTACAGTGGGAGACTCTGAGCACAAAAATTCATGTGTAGGCAGGCAATGGCATCTCAACTCCTCTCTCCTGCATACTCAGGAAGAACTGCAAGTTATTGACACAACAGTTATATTTGTAATTTTTGGCCCTCAGTTTATTGACTAGGATTCTGTCTGACAGGGCTGATTTTTCACTTTCTTACACTTGTTTGGGTTACAGGGAAAACTCTCATGGATAGTCGTTGCAATTTTCGTAAAAGATGGTAGACTGTAGATGCTCAACCAGGCACAGATGCAAGGCTGTTGTGTCTTAGGGACTAGGCAGAGTTCAGATTGAATTTAGGCCCTGGAAATTTACAACTGCATAGGAGTTACTCAAGCTCAAACACTTGATTTAACACTATGAAGAGTTCAATATGCCTCCCTTACAGGGATGTGTTGAAGATTTAGTCAGATGACTGCCAACTAGGATGTCCAACAAACAGCTAGAATTGCTAGTTAGGGATTATATTTGCAAAGGCATTTCAATAATGGTGTGAATAGAGCTTTCACCTAACATTTTGTAGCCTAGATTTCAATAGTCTTATATAAGGCACATGTATCTATATCCTTGCATTGATTAATAGAACAGAATATGGGTAGGCATTATTAGAAATAAAAGATTATTCTTTTAACTACAGAAAAATAGCTGTGCCCCTCTAGACTCAGGAAACATTATGGAAGAAGTGATGGAAAGGATGTAAGAGTCAAGTGAGGGGGAGATGTCCCACAAAGATGTGGCCAGCACATGACCTGACCTTTGCGCTTATGAACTCAATGTGGCTGTGGTTTTCTGTACAAGACCTGCAAGTGATTGGGCCCCTCCACATTTCATCATGGATGAGGGAGGGGTCCATGAGGTCACACCCCTCCCTGAGGGATTATTGGCAGTTAATGGCTGTTGGGGGAGGAGGTAGCATTTTCTTCAGTGGTGTGAATGTTGATTAGTTGCCTTTGCTCCAGGAAATACCTTTCCACTCATTCCTGATTAAGAAACTCCAATAAACTCAGTGGGACGCACACAAAAAAGAAGACATAAAAATAGGATGCAGGCTTGTTGGGAAGAAGGGCAATGAGAGAGGAAGCAAAGATGACAAAACTTCATTAAATAAATGTATGGAACTGTCAAGCCAAACAAAAAATTAAAACACAAAGAATGAAACACAAAGGGAAAAATAACAGAAAAAAGAAAATAAGATTTATAAGGACACTGAATACCTAACCTCAAAAGGCAGCAAAACTTATCTTAAAAGTATAATATTAAGAGAGACTATGCTGCCGGGCGTGGTGGCGCACGCCTTTAATCCCAACACTCCGGAGGCAGAGGCAGGTGGATCTCTCTGAGTTCAGGCCAGCCTGGTCTACATAGTGAGTTCCCAGACAGCTTGGGCTACAGGGAGACCCTGTCTCAAAAAGACCAAAAAAAAAACAAAAAAAAAAAAAAAAAAAAAAAAAAAAAAGAGAGACACTATGCTAAGACATTAAAAGGAGTTGTCTCCTTTATCCCCAGACAGACTGTGAAGGGAAACTTGCTGTAAAGTATCATTTGCCTCAGAGGAAAGTGAGTTAATGAGATTTATTGTCCAAACCAACATGCCAGGGAAAACATGAGGAATTTTAGAATTAGGATTTTTCTGAATGTAGATTCCAAGATTTAGGCTCCAATTTCCAAATAGATTTTCTGGAACTACATACACAAGAAGGAGGCAAAGGACCATATGCCAGAGCGGAGGGACAAGGACCGGTCAGGCCTGGCATATTTTGATTTTCTTATTGCTATGGCTAAATACCTGACAAGAAGCAATTGAGGGGAAGGAGGATTCATGCTGGCTCACAGTTTGGGGATGCAGTCCGTTTCAGCCGGAAAAGGGAGGAGTCACAGGGAAATAGTGCCTGCCCATGAGCCTCAGGCTCACCTCCCCCGCAGCACCCCACTTCCTCTGTGTAGGCTCCACCTCCTAAAGGTTACAACTCCCTAAACCGTGCCACTGTCTGGGAACCAAATGTCCAAACCCACAAGCCGGTGGAGGATAGTCTACATCCAAACCATAGCAACTGAAAATAGAAAAGGATGTGCCTAGGAGGCCAACGTTGGAAATGGATCTTCCAGCAGTGGGCAGGGCACCAGCTGAGATAATGAAAGAGACGTGGTGCTAAGATGGAAACAGAAGACAGAGAACCTAGAGAACCCACACGCCGCAGGCGGGGTGCAGTGCCCCTGGAGGCCCCCAGGTGCTTTGGACAGAGAGAGGGCTTTGTGGAGAAGACAACTGCACAATAAACTACCTTCAGCTGAGGGGACAGTTGGACCAAGGGATCTGCAGGAAGGGTCTGGAGAAGAGGTGTCCTCTCCTTCCTCCATTAGAAACAGGGAGTCTGTGCTGTTCAGAAGGAGGGAAGGTTAGCCCTCCCTTTGACAAGGATGGAAGAGGCCCTAGAGCCTGACAATACACATACAGTTCAGGCCTTGCCACCTACTTTGTGGCATCTGACCACTGTTTTTTATTGTTTCATCAGGGAATTTCTAGTCCTATAAATTTTCCCAAGTGTGTCTGACAGCCAAACCCCTCAGGCCCATAGGAAAAGGACAAGCCTAAGTGGAACAATTTTCTTGTTCCTAGAATCATTCACTGTTCATTTCTTTAGAAACATTTCAAGTTTCTAAAATAAGAGGCAATGACTCAGTATATTCTACGTTGTATAGAATGCATAATCAAAATCATGATCACATTAAAGGATGTTTTTTTAAGATTAAAGAAAAAGAAACAGAGTTAACTGCAACAACCCAAGGGTGATGTGCTTCCAGATCACACGAAGTAAAGCATCCAAGGCAAGGTCATGCAGAGCTTCATACAGGATGCCAATGAGTTAGGATGGTAGTTTTACAGAAGCCTAGCAGACACTGGAACTCTTGCGGAATTGCTCAGTGGCCACATCCTGCTCAGGTGCTTGGTGACCACACCCTGAGCTCCCATGCCCATGCAGTGCCATAAGGTATTAGAAGATAGAGTTACAGGGGGCAAAACTGGAGATGGAATTTCAGAAGGGAGGCTGGTGGAGTGAAGAGCGTAACGACAAGCGACTCTGAGGGGATGGCCTGACAGGACCTGAGAGCACCTTGGATGAGCAGGGGACCAAGCAAGGGGCTTCAGTGCATAGGATTGTGAATACATAGTCCCAGCTCAAACTAAGATGGAGAATACAGGTGGAGGAGGAATTGAATCAATTTAGTGATTTAAAGTTTGTCATAAGAGTTGATGGCAAATTTTTGTTTTATGGAGTTTGGTTTTTCCTTTTCTTTTTTTTCTCTCCTTTTGCCTCCCTCCTCTG